GTTTGAGGTCCATTAAGGTTTTCATTATTCTTGCTGGCACAAGAGAAAACCCTAGATGCTGCAATCATATTCTCTGTGTGGATTATCGTTGGAGGCTGGACAATTGGACAGCTGTGGTGACGAATCAAAATTGTGGAACGAAAAGAAAAGCAAAAGGATTGCAGATCTGAAAAAGGTATAATCTTATCACAATTTCTATCTAAACACAAAGACGATTCTTGGTGGGAATCGAAAATTATTTTAAATTCCGCTGTGCATGTATAAGTAGATTCCCAACAATATCCAACTTAATTAGGATCTTGTAGAAATAGCAGATCTTCTTCCCGAACCCTCATCCGCTTATGATTCTCCTACAAGATTCGAGATTCTTCCCTTTGTAGTTCGAACGATTGTAGAATGATTTCTGCAAGAAGATCTCGTTGAAACATGGAAGAAAATTTGGGAAAGGCAGGGTTTTCCCAAGAACCAAGGCACTAAAATGGAAGGAGCAAGATGAAACACGAGAAGAATGAAATGGGTTTGGAAATAGAATATGTAGTGATAGTGATTTTAAAATAAGATTGTCTATGTTATAGCCAAGAATTTCAATAACTTGTAATCTGAAAGTTCACTTTTGTAGACATTACCTCAAAGGACTTAAGATTTATATAATTAATCTAAAAAGTTAGAATTATCTATAAGAATGTGTTCCAATTATCAAATTTATGATTCGATATTCAACTTGGCATCATATTTCACAACTTCTATAGAAGGTTCACTTGTACGTTAGCAGACTTATGAGTACTAACATGTATTCTCGACTATTATATATGGAAAATTTATTAGGGTCTGTTTGATTGTAAAGATGGAATTTGGGTGAAAAGAAAATGAATTCCAAAGAATTGAATTGCTTAGAAATTGTTTTACTAGAAATTGTCAATTGATAGTGTTTGATTGATATAATTTTCTAGGTGGAAAATGTTGAAATAAAAGTATTTTTTGGTGTTCGTTTAGCTTTATTTTTATGAAAATTGTCAATTTAAGGAATATCCATTTCCACCATTGTTCCTAAAAATTGTTTCCATTGCCAACCAAAAAAAAAATTCAAAAATTATCTATATTTTAGTATTCGTCTGGCTTTGTTTTACATGAAAATTGTCAATTTAAGGGCTATCCCCTTTCACAATTGTTCCTAGAATTTGTTCACATTGCCAACAATTAAAAAAAAAAAAGAAGAAGAAGAAGAAGAAGTGGAATTTCAAAAACCACCTACCCCATGGAAAATAAAATGTGGAATTTCATACTTTACCGGCTTGTACCTAGAAATTCATGGAAAATCAATTCCCTGAAAAATTTTGTTAATCAAACAGGTCAAAAGTGGAAGTTGGAATTCAAATTCTAAGTTCCATGAAAAATATAGTGTAATCAAACAGGGCCTTAGTTCGATCGTATTGAAAACTAAGCAACCAATATCCTTCTTGTTATTCGTTATACAATTGATATAACCACCAGCAATCACCTACCTCGATCAAAACTTTTCCATGCCGAAGGACATAATAACTATAATACCTCCAACTCTCACCTATAAAATGGAACAAATTATAAATACAAAAATATATAATAATAATAATAATAATAATAATAATAATAATAATAATAATAATAATAATAAATAAATAAATAAATAAATAAATAAAATAAAAAAATGCTAAAGTTTTATAAGATCAAATTATTTTGTAATTTAGAATCATAGTTGCATAGCTTGAGGATATCAGCACTTTAAGCCATTCAAGAAACTTCTCATATTGAGATCAAGATTGTGACCAATACGCGCGCAAGAAAGAGAGCTTCTAAACTCTACCAATACCTTACCTTATGTGAAATACTAGCACGGTCGTAATACATCTTTACAACCTCAAGTATATTGCATCTCTCTCACATGCAACCAAACAACCTCCTTCTAGTAGGACCAAAGCAACCAAGCGACTTTGCTACACCTCTATGCTCCTAGTATCTGAACTAGCATTTCAAGAAGTTGTGCTTGATCGGGGCTATACCTACAGATAAATTAGAACTTATCAACCTTAATGCTAACAGTTACTGAGATTAAATTAGGAACTAAGGATGCCAAGGATTTACAAATTGAGCAGAATCACGATAGACAAACTTATTAAGCAAATCCATCAAACAAGAGAATCAAAAACTCGCCTATCAAGGCCAGTTATTGGAAGGAAATCAAACCATGACAACAACAATAGACAAAACCGTATTAGAAAATTGTATTTGGTCTAAACCATAATGAATTACCTACGTTTGACTACTCTCATTGTAACTGTCTCTTCTGTGAGCTCACATAATATCTGAAATGCAACATAAAACCCTCGTTAACCATTAACTATTTTATCTGAAATCTTAAAGCTAATGGAGAGTGACCATGTTCGTATTCATTTAAATCTTCAACCCTGATACCGAAATGTATATTGTGTTCGAAGTACAAAACAATTGATCAAAGATAAAATTGGAGGTTAAACACATATCTTTCTAACATTAGCCAATAAGTAACCATATCGTCGTGGTGTGACACTGATAACTTCCTTACTCCCATAATTTATGTTGACGGCTATCGGATCAACTCTGCCATCGACTTCAATGCCCATTTGCTGATGACAAGATCACTCACGGATTGGACGGTTGAAAGGAAACGGGTGAACGAAAGGGGTGCATCATGGGCATTTTACCCACCACATTGTGGAACCGGCCCAACCTGACCAAAACCGAACCATCATGTCGCGAGATGATCCATAAATGTACAATTATAATAAAACTTGAGGACCAAATTGTTAAATTTAAAAGGTTGTAGACCAATATTCTACTAAAGTAATAGGTTGGCTACTACTGGTGCAATTGTCACTTAAAAGTGAATTAATTCTCCCTTTCCCCTCCCAAAACAAATCTGGGGTTTAGAGAGAGATCGCAGAATTGTGTCACTGTATACTGGTAAAAATGGCGAATCCCCAACAAGCTTCGAGTCGGGCATGGATTCTTGAATTCATACCTCTAATGGTAGTCATTCTCATTGGCGCCCACGTCTTCGCTCTGGTAGACCCCAGCCACCGCCAACACAAAATTATATGCTTCTTTTTTTCTTTTTCCTAATTTATCTGTTATTAATATATAAAAGATTCGTGTAAGTTCCAGCCTTTTGATTTTATACGAAATTGTGGGTGAATAGGTTTACTGGATTTACAGACTAGCAACTGAGAAACAGTCAAAGAACGAAAAAGCACTAGACTAGAAAAGAACAGTTATACTCAATCCGATTTGATGTGGCTGAAGAAGGTAATACTTGTTTCAATTTAGTGTTTGGGTTACATCTGGTATTCAATTATAGTTCTTACGTAGTATTTGTTCATCTGTTTTACAATTGGATTCTTGAAAATTTAATTATACAGTCTGATTCCTTCCCATTTGAGCTTTAACTACATCTGGTTAAGCCTTCCCAGGTTGCCACACAATTGGTTACTTCGTTTTTCTCTATTATCTTAGATCAAATAATTTTATTATTCTGATTTAGGCACTGTTTGGTGTGTGGTTTGTTGTTCTAAAATCTAAGGACAAGAAGTTGGAGAAAAATCAAATATATTAATGAACTTTTCTATGTATTAAGGGGCATCCTCCTATTGTTTTAATAGGTTTGGTGCACCCTATGGTACTTTTTATCTCTGTTTATATTGAAACTTGTTTGGGATAAACTGGAGTTGGTATGGTGTGGCTTAATTTGTAAAATTGATTGCATTGCCAGCATCTTTTAAAGGTTTGCAATTATCTGAACTTTCAGTTCTTTATTTTTCACTTCTTTAGCATTGTTGCCACTGTCTGATCATCGACGCGAATACCAAAGGCTTCTATGGTTTTTATGTGCTATATGTGTAATTTTTGTGTACAAAAGCCTAGGAGCACAAGATTTATATTTCCTTGCAATCCTGAATGTGCTAACTTTTATAATTGTACATGAGCCAGTCACCACCTCCCACTTCTGGAATCATATTAAATGCTCTTTAAGATCATTATGTACCAATTTTTTTCACAATTGATAGTTGGTATCTACTAAATGCTCAGTAACTTCACACTGGGTCTAGGAAGGACTATTTCAGTATATTTATGAAAAAATTATTGAAGGCAAGTTTTTGAACGAGAAGTGCACGATTTAGACTAAATGTTATCACGTCGACACCAATCTCTTCCAGTACCTTCTGTCTCCTAGTTGGATGATAAATTATCATATAGACACACTATTATTTGAGTAGAAAAATGATGCATGCTACTCATGTTTTACTTAATCATTTGCATAATTGCTTTATTTCATTGGTTTCTTCATTTTCTCTCTATTTTTTCATTGAAGTCATATTTGACCAATTCGATTAATTTCGGGATCATTGTATTCTCTTATATGGTTTGAGTCAGTGGAGTTCTCGAACTAATGCTGTCATAAACCATTCTGTGCGAGTTGCGGGACAAGACTGGGCTGTGAAATTGTCAGCACAGTCTGATTGAAGGACATTTTGAACTCTACTGAAATGGTATCATCCCTCCTAGGGTATACTATTTCCAAATCAGTAGATTATTTTGCTAAAAGTTAGTTGAGAGATAATAGAAATGGAATAATATAGAAATTTAAAATCTTCGTCAAAATACTTTGTGTTTCTTGTCAATTGTTAAAGCTTAATAGTTTTAAGTTGCTCCTTTTCTTTACATTGTAAATCGTAATGAACATGAAGTAAGCCAATGTAAAATATCTTCCAGCATATAGGACTTTTTGATCTGAAAGGTAGTTCTCAAATATGGCATTTCAATCCTCTTCAGTTCCAGTTTATTTTTGAACAAGGTACTAAAAGAATTCAGGATGGACCTGCTGTGTACAATTGCGTCTGCAATTTCCTGTTGACAGTGGTTAGATAAAATCTTGAGTTAGAATTGTAAAATAGCTTGGTTCCTGTTTTGCATCTGAAGATTGTTCAAACGATCTCTTGTAGTCCTATATAACCTTGTTTGTATAAATGTTTTTTTGAATTTAATGAAAATTGCTATTATCTATTTCTATCACAGGAATGTCTTTTGATGATTAATTCATTTTATAGAGAGAAAAGCCATCTGAAAGAGGTCACAGGTTCTACCTCATTAACTCATACATTTCTTGGGTTTTTCGTGCCTTGCATCTGAGCTTTCATCCGATGAGTGGGATTATGTAGTATCAGTTGATAAATGTCAGCCAAATAGATTTTCTTTTCCAGAAATAGGGCTGTGAATGTCAATTCCGGGCATGTAATTCAACTTAAAACCATTCTTCCAGAATTGATGTTGGCATGTTGAGTTTCTATTTGTAATATGTGGAGTACTCCAAAATTCTACTTGGTCTCTTTAATGCATGTCCAAGTGTTCTATAACGTATTCCATCATCCAAACTCGAATGGAAAATAAGACCTTTGGCACTGTTTGATTCATGGGACTAGATTCGGGAGGAGGCTGAATTTGTTGTGTTTGCTACTACTATTATAGGGTGTGTTTGGTACTTGGTATTCAACGAGATTGGAGAGCTTAGAAGTTAAAATGATTTTGGCTTTTTTCTTTAAGTTAAAAAGATTTTGGCTTGTTTTCTTCTTATATATTGTCATATACCGCACAATTTAAGGCACAATCCATACCATTCAGTGATACTACTGAAGATGTGTGAACACTAATCGTCGAAGTCAGCTAAATAAGGATGGCAATAATACACATCAAACTTAGTACTTGCGGGGCCTTGTCCGGAACAAGACGGGGATTACCCGCTTAATCGGATTGGGTATGGGGTGAGGAATTCCTTCCCGAGGCGGGTACGGGTAAGAAGGCCCCACCCCTCCAGCGCCCCATTTAATTATTATTATTATTTTATTTTATTTTTTTTAAGAATTCAATATTTTAAATGGAAAAACTCCACGAAATTTCATTAATTCTAAGGAACATGACAAAACAATAAAAACCTTTAAATATATTTGAATAATTTAACTTTTAAAAATAAGAGTTTGTTCTGTAGTGATTATGAGAATTATTTTTTTTATCATTAAAGAGAAAAGTGAATCACATTTATGAGTGGAGAAGTCAAAAATAACGGCTGACTTTGGAAAGTGATGGTAAGAAAATTGATTTTGTACGGTGAAAAATCAAAATCAAACGGGGGCTAAATTAATTAATTAAAAAATTTAATAACTATATTATTATCTCACTTGAATGTAGGAGGGTAATAAAATGAATTATCAAAAAATATAATAAAAATATATAAATAAATGGGTATGTAATTGGGGAAACCGTCATGCCCGTGACCCATTCAGCCTTAAACGGGTAATGGGACGAATATGGGGTGGGAAAATGCCCGACGGAACGTGGGTGAGGAAGCCCGCCCTATCCCAAAACAGCCTCGTCGCCAACCCCGCAACTGAATATGGGGCTTGAAAGCAATATTCCTAGGATATTTCAATCAAATCATTTGTCCGTATTTAGCCCATGTTTGGTACATATGCTTTAAAACTCTTTTTTTTTTTCAAATTTATTTTCAATTACACATTCTTTAAAAAAAAAAATGCACGTAGATCCATAATTTTTTTCACGCATTCTCCCAAAAAATCATTTTTCACGGAAGTTATTCTCAAAAAATCTTCATGAGAAATGCAATTAGATGTAGACTGACGTAACCCCCCCCCCCCGCGGGGCTCGCGGGGCCTTTTTTATTTGTATGTGTGCGCGCCTCTTAAACGAGAATCGCTACATTATTTCCTGACAACACAGTCTATGCGCCTTGGTGATTGTGATGTTAGTTTGCAGCAAACAAGATCATCGTTTAAGTTAAGAAAGTAAAATTTTTTATACACTTCAATAATGATCTCTACTTTGATTCGTCATCTCTCTTTTATTTTATTTTTCTTTTTATTTTTTCTAAGAAGCATTTATTGTTTTCTCCTCATCTTTTATAGTATAACATATTTTTTATATGTCAATTTTCAATCAAAATATGATTTGAATAATTTAAGTGGAGTATTGAAATTTGTAACTTATCAAATGCAATCATTATAAAGTCAAATCCACTCTTTAATTTTAATGGTTAGACTAGAAAGTTCTTTGGGTTTATTTGTAAACATTGACTGTATGAGATATAAAGTTTACTGCATGTAGATAGTTTCATAGAGATGTTCTTAGGATGTTCATTAATGAGCATTGAGAGAGCCTCGACGTGAAATTGGCCTACCTTTTGAATATCAGGTTGCACTACCCCATTTTACACTTGTCTCCAGGGGTTAACACAGTTTGATTTGGACAATTTTTGTTCAACTTTTAAACAAAACCGTTTAAATAGTTAGGGAAATGTTCTAAACCAAATTATTTTTTTGGGTTCGATTTGATTTCAAATTACTGTTTTCATAGCAAATAACGTCTTTCAGACAAGTTAAAACAAAGTTATATTGATTTAAAATCTTAAAACAACAGTGGAACTTTAACTAAACATTACATTACAATATATTAATATTGATCTCATACAAGTTTAAAGCAATAAAAATAATACAAAGTTCGACCATAACAAAGGAAGCACAATAAAGTTTGTCGCATACTTCTTCTAAATTTTTTATTTTCTTCTCATTCATGATTTCGGTTCATCGACATATTGCATTATGAAAATCACTATAGTTTGACAAATACTAGAAATAATTCACTTGCGTACAAAGATCACATTAAGTTTGTCCCGACTTATAAATGGGTCACGTGAATTATTATACTTTATTGGACGACATAAATACTTAACAAGATTACATATATTTCTTGCAACAAACATATTGGCCACACAATCTGAAAATCATCATATACATTTTGTCAAATAATATGAGAGGAAAATGTGCCAAATGAACACTTTTTGGTTTTTATTTTTTGAAAAATGGACAAATCTCTGAACATTTGGAGATTGGATGACAAGTCTAACTTTGAATTTCTGAGCAGGTTGTCTATTGTAAGTTGTTGCCCGTTTTCTCGTCTTTGCATGCTCGAAGAAGATACACAACGTTAGCCAACTGTCTGTTTAGAGTAGTCACTTTCTTCAGCCGGCCAGCCAGCCATTCATCCATCCATAGATGTGGTCTTGTCTTCTCACCCTGGAACCAGTACAGCACTGCAGCGTTCGTCATGCAGCTGTTCTTTCACCTCTTTTCTGTACTCCATCCTTTTCAACTGTATGGAACAAAGGAAAACAAACGGAATTTATTAGGAATGAAAAATGCTACCTTTACAGATTTTTTAAACAGATGGGGTTACAAGTACTGAGGTAGCAAGATTTCATTGGCTAGTTTAACTTGGTATTTTGTTCAAAATAGTATGAAATCTTGCAGCTCAGCATTCTGTAATCCCATATATTTAACGAGCCTGTACAAGTAGCATTTCACATTAGGAATAGTAAGCAGGCATGAATTCTTAGAAGCAGTGCTTTCACAATGCAATTGTTTTATGTAGTTAGGATATTTTATAGGAACGTGATTCTGCATAAAAAAAAAGGGGGGGGAATTTACACAAATGTCACTAAAATTGAAAATGCAAAAAAAAATTGGACATTCACCAATTTCTTCCAAGAATGTCAATTTTTCCCTACAAAATGTCCACTTTACCCTTTAACACCTTTTTGGAGCAATAAATGCTTGATTTGAATGCAATTTTTGTTATGATGTGATTAATTTTTTTTTTTTGCCTTAAATTTAATATTGAAGATATGATATTATATTGTATAATAAGATTTTTTTTGATTAAAAAAGGGGTGAAATCTTTACAAAATACACACACACATACGAATTGAAAGAGCTTCTTCTTCTTCATCATCTACACTCCATCATCGACAAGGAAACAAGGAAAGCCATTGACAAATTTGAAAGGTAAGGTAGTAGAAAAAAGTTCATCTCATGTCATAGTTGACTACTTTAAATGTTCAATACAATATGATCATATTTAAATGAACCCTTTCAATCTCTTATTCATTGATGTAGTAAATTTTTGGTATATTTTAAAAAGAAAAATTATACCAATATTATATAGAAAATGTGAAGTATTCCATATATAATTCAACATTTAATGAAGCATTAAGTGATACCTTATTCATTTCTAAAAAGATACAGTGATATTGTAGTTCAGAATTTATTATGGCCTTTATCATTTTCAATAAATTCGTCAAACAGTGAAGCACATGGAATTTATCTTTCTTGAAAGTTATGGCAGTAGAACTGTCGAGCAGTATCTTGGAAACTGTCGGGTTAGACATTTTAACTGTCGAGCTCGACATTTACTGACTGTCGGGATAGAAAATGTAATTGTCGATTTCGACACCTGAAAACTGATCATCTTTTATATCTTTGGTAGTACATGGATGTAAGTATTTTCGTGTGCCAATTTGATGTTATGAAATGTCGACATATGAATGTGCAGAATTCTCACTTTTGCAATCCTAACATTTCAGGTATGAGTCATGATTTCAGATTCATCGTGTCGCATGGAGGAAACTTCGTTCACTCAGATGATGAATGGAAGTGGAGAGAGGACAAAACCACTTCCATTTTAGTGTCGAGAAGTATTACCGTAGCAAAACTTCTGTTACGATTGAAGGAGAAACTTGGTATCGTTGAATCCCGCAATGCAATCGAATTGAAGTTCAAAGTCCCGAACTTGAATCTACCTCCGGCAGAGATACGCGACGATGAGGATCTACAGTGGTACATATCTGTTCATAAGGAAACTGCACTCTGCATCACATATTTGGTATCCGAGCTCCCATTTGTTGGTATGGCAACAGATGCAAACTGTGAAGGGAACTTGTTCGGCCCAACGGAATGTCCACTAAATGTACAACATGACGAGATGAATCATCAGCACAGTGTGTCGCAAACCGAACCACCCGAACCTCCAATTGAGCGTATAGAGGCTGCAGCATCCGCCGAACACTTAGAGAACCCATTACATGGTACAGATCGTGCTATTATTGCTGGAAATAGATGAGACAATGTCATCAAATTCCAGACGTTCGTGCACAGATGAGTGGATTACAGCTGCAAATATATCGGTTCTCGCTGAGAAGCAAATATTCTTTACCAAGGAACAGTTGTACTCGAAGTTTCATGTACTTGCTTTGCAAGAGAAGTTCCGATTCCGGGTAAGCAGGTCAAGCTTGAAAATGTTAGCAGTTGTCTGTGTTGATGATAATTGCAAGTGGATGCTACGTGCTTCTACTGTCAAGCAATCTGCAATCTTCATGACTCGTAAGTTCGTTGCAGTTCACACATGTTACCTTGATTTTCGTCGTAACGCACATCGGCATGCCACTAGTGCTGTAATTGCGGAGCATATTTTGGGAAAATTGGATACTCCATACCGATCATATCCGCCTACTCATATTGCACGTGATATGGAACGTGAGTTTGGTGTGAAAATCAGTTATAGCAAAGCACGTAGGGGGAAGCTCCATGCCTTA